TGGTAAGACGTTCGGCTGGAAAAAGAGTGTTCCCTTTTGTCGCGGGTTCGAGTCCTGCTGGAGTGATTTTTTCAAGATGTTACTTTTTTTTAAATACACGTGTATATATTCCACTATGTATAACTAACCTTCAAATATTCTTTTCCTAAACACTACAATTTAATTGTTACTATAATCATAGGATGTACATAAACCCGGATGGTATTTATCATAAAAACATTTGATCCATAAAAGTTTGAAGGCAATGTAAGCTGAATGGTATCTTTGTTTCTTCGGTCACAAGTTTTTCATTGCACATGTGTGTTGGTTATGCATTGATACTTTATATGATTAGGTGATTGCACAGTGGTCTCATTGCTCGGTGTTAGATAACGGTGTGTTATCTCTGCGGTGTTGGATATCGCTCTAACAAGGAAAGGTCCCGAGGTGTAACTCTCAGATTTTAACGATCTTTGGCACAATGATAGAGCTTGAAAAACTGAAGCCACTGATACCCAGTTTTGGGGGCAGATGGTTAATAGTTTACGAGATATTTAACATTAAAGTTTTTTACCTGTGTTTATCTTGTAAAGTGTAGGTATGTATTACCAGAAGCGGTTGTAGTGGGGTTGGTAAGACGTCTGGCTGGCGGAAGAATGTTCCTTTTCGTCGCGGGTTCAGGTTCTGCTGGAGTGATTTTTTCAAGATGTTACTTTTTTTTAAATACACGTGTATATATTCCACTATGTATAACTAACCTTCAAATATTCTTTTCCTAAACACTACAATTTAATTGTTACTATAATCATAGGATGTACATAAACCCGGATGGTATTTATCATAAAAACATTTGATCCATAAAAGTTTGAAGGCAATGTAAGCTGAATGGTATCTTTGTTTCTTCGGTCACAAGTTTTTCATTGCACATGTGTGCCATTGGGTAGCATATCCATGATTTTTTTCATAAGTTTTCATCGAGCAGAACAAGAGAAATGGAGCTTAAACTGTAAATTGCGTTTTGCCCTGTAGTAGGGGTATCAGCTTGATACTTGACAGAAAGGGTTTTCCTCGAGTGGTCTATCGAATGATATGCACGATCTTTGGCACAATGATAGCGCTTGAAAAACTGAAGCCACTGATACCCGGTTTTGAGGGCAGACGGTTAATAGTTTACGAGATATTTAATATTAAAGTTTTTTTACCTGTCTTTATCTTCTCAAGTGTAGGTATGTATTACAAAAAGTAGTCGTGGTAGGGTTGGTAAGACGTTCGGCTGGAAAAAGAGTGTTCCCTTTTGTCGCGGGTTCGAGTCCTGCTGACAAGGAAAGGTCCCGAGGTGTAACTCTCAGATTTTAACGATCTTTGGCACAATGATAGCGCTTGAAAAACTGAAGCCACTGATACCCGGTTTTGAGGGCAAACGATTAATAGTTTACGAGATATTTAATATTAAAGTTTTTTTACCTGTCTTTATCTTCTCAAGTGTAGGTATGTATTGCAAAAAGTAGTCGTGGTAGTGTTGGTAAGACGTTTGGCTGGAAAAAGAGTGTTCCCTTTTGTCGCGGGTTCGAGTCCTGCTGGAGTGATTTTTTCAAGATGTTACTTTTTTTTAAATACACGTGTATATATTCCACTATGTATAACTAACCTTCAAATATTCTTTTCCTAAACACTACAATTTAATTGTTACTATAATCATAGGATGTACATAAACCCGGATGGTATTTATCATAAAAACATTTAATCCATAAAAGTTTAAAGGCAATGTAAGCTGAATGGTATCTTTGTTTCTTCGGTCACAAGTTTTTCATTGCACATGTGTGCCATTGGGTAGCATATCCATGATTTTTTTCATAAGTTTTCATCGAGCAGAACAAGAGAAATAGAGCTTAAACTGTAAATTGCGTTTCGCCCTGTAGTAGGGGTACCAGCTTGATACTTGACAGAAAGGGTTTTCCTCGAGTGGTCTATCGAATGATATGTACCACGATCGATTCGGTTTGGGAGCACTTTTACCGTGCTTACTCGGCTAGGCCCTTTTCTATGCCCCTTTTGGGAGGGAGCTGACCCACGGGCATCCTCGAGCGTCGGGCTCTCGTACCGAGGCTCTTGCCCGATTTATTGCACCAGCCTTGGGCAAAGGCTTAGGCCCAGGCCAGAAAAAGGACAATTGTCTAAACTTGGCTGGGCTCGCTGTACTGTCCGGAAAATTTCCCATTCGTCAATTTTTCCTTCTCTAACTCATTTCCATCACCCCGAAGACAAGAGAGGTTCGCTAGACTTGGTGGCTACGGACGTAAGACATTTCGCTATCCGGGCACGTGGTGACAAAAACCATGCGACGGCCCTGAGCACGTGGGTATTTTTTAGTGGAGTGGGGGTTGACTCCAAAACTGCTAGCCAATCAAGCTTTCTAGTAATAAACATTTCTTCTCCGTTCTATTGTAAAGATACCCCTTCCTTAACGAACGTCCATCTAGGACCCGGGAAACGCTTAAGCTCGCAGAATCATTCTGCCAACCGTAAGAGAAACATGCATCGTACAAACGCGCAGTATTACAATATGTTTTTTACATTCGCACAGTGCGATGGCAATGCCAACGCTGCAGCTGCGCGAATTGCATCCCGGCGAACACACACCAGGTGCGGCAGCCTTCCGCGGGTTGGCGGCCCGCCTTTATTCGACTGGCTCGGCTCAACCTGATCGAATAGATTCGGGCCGATCGTGTCGAATTTTCACGGCACGGTCGGGCTCAGCCCTCGCAGAGTCCGACGGGGATGACGCGCAGAGTGTGCGAGAGGTTGTCAGGCGGATGGCGTAAGTTTCAATTTTCAAATACATAAACATTTCGTAATAAAAATGAAATTCTTATAGTGGTATACTTTTCTGTTTTATTTCAGTGACAGCCCGATAGAAGTATACATGCGCGAACGCAACCTGCGCCCCAGGGATTTCGTCCAACGGATGAAATATTCAAGATGGCTGCTGGGGGAAATTGAGCGGAATCCGTCGTTCTGCAGGTACATTTTGTGGACAGGTGAAGTCCTTTTAACCCGGGACGGGTGCTTTAATACCCACAATTTGTACGTGAGGAACGATGAGAATCCGTATGCGATGCGTCCATATGCAGCACAAGAACGCTGGCCAGTTAATCTATGGGCCGGCATTTGCAACGATTTTGTTGTTGGGCCATACATTCTACCCGACAGATTGAATGGCTCAACATACAATAATTTTCTGGAGAATGTTCTTCCGGGTCTCTTGGAAGAAATTCCTCTAGAAATTCGGAAGAACATGTATTTCCAGCATGATGGGACGCCCGCCCATTATGCCGCAAATGTTCGGGCTTTCTTAGATGAAGCCTTTCGCGGCAGGTGGATTGGCCGCGGCAGTGCTGTATCGTGGCCCCCACAGTCTCCCGATTTCAATCCGTTGGATACCTTTTTCTGGAGATACCTGGAGGTACGTTCAGTGTCTCTATTATTTTGCACTAACTATAAAAATATTTATTTACTCATTTTGCTTCTTTCTTCATTTTTTTCAGAACCAGGTGTACAAAGACGTGGTGCAATCGCGGGAGGAGTTGGTGGCGCGTATTCACGGCGTTGTCGCCACAATCTCCCGCGATATGCTACAAAGGGTGCAGAGAAACGTACGGCGGCGCGCGGAGGCTTGTCTAGCGATGAGAGGTGGTTACATTGAACCCTTCCTTCCACGCTGAGGTGATAACACCGCCACCACAATCGGCCCCTTTCGGGGCCACACATTTTTAAACATAGGAACAACAAATTGTTCACAAACGTAACAACCTTTCCCAGTGGCAAGAGAAAGTGCGGAGAAGTGAGTTGACCGCTGAGCGTTAGTAAAGGAACAAGAAACATCGCTATCGACAACAATAAACGTCGAACGCCGAAAGAAGACGTCGAAAGCCGCGACGTTCCGCGAGTTTCCCAGTGGCAAGTAAAGTGGCAGTGAAAAAAAAAAGTACAGTGAAGTGAGTTCATTGGCCCGACCGTAACATCAGCTGTTTCGGATTACCTGGAAAGGTCGGGATCGACACACTGACCCAGTGCCAACGACCCACTTCCGTCGAAGCAGGTTCATTCGTGGATGAATGGGTAAGTTTTTCATAAGTAATAAAACACTTTATTCCTTTCGGATAACGAATAAAAGTATCGAACACAGTTATTAAACGACTTATTTGTTATTCGTGAAAAAAAAAAATACGTTTTGTAGATCAATGTCAATGATACACACGTTGAAAATTTCATCGAAATCGGTGGATGGAGAAACAAGCGACAGGAGCATTGAAAGATGTAAGAATCTGCAGATTTATTACAGTTTTACGCTGAAAGTCGTGATACTGCGATTTTCACAATCTTTAACCGTTTGTAGCTCATAGAAACATTAACCGATTTCGATGAAATTTTCAGCGTGTGTGTCATTGACATAGATCTACAAAACGTATTTTTTAAATTTTCATTACGAGCTTAGATATTAAAAGATTACGACTAATTGCAGTTTTTTCAAAAATTTATACAAACGTCGGAATGACGGCAAAAAAACATTTCTCTAAGCCTTATAAAAATAGCGGTGCAAAGTTAAATTTTTTTGACAACGATCGATAACCGAGAAGTCACGCGTACGCGTCGTTCACGATAGCGCGTGGGTGAATCTCTGTTCGCCCGTCCCTGAGCGCGGGCTCTACGGGCGCTGTGATTGGCCAGTGTTTTTCGTTAATAATTCGAAAACGAAGCTTCAAACTACATTTTGGGAAAGGAAAATGTTGTTCAGAGTCATCCCTGCAACTCCGCCCCCTCCCCCTTACCGGATGTTCGAAGAGTTCCGGAACACCCTGTATATATAGCATGTGATAACAGCGCCACTTGTTTTAGTCACGAGAAATTATGGTATGATAAACTGTATACACGCGCCTTCGTGCGCGTTCGGATGGTACAATTTTTACGCCGTTTGTTTGTTAATAAATATTTCTGTTTAGTGACATAATAATCAGGTGAAAATGGATAACGAGAAAACTACTATGCTTGCGGTTCTACAACTGCTCAGAAAATATAATCTGAAGGTATACTACGAGGAATTTCGTTGCAAAAATTTCCTAACCTCAAACCTTACTATAAACATTAAACATTTATCATAAAACTACTGTACATTCCTATGTTGTCCCATGAAAGGTATTGCTATAATGCTTAGAAATGTATTATTATAATAATTTTACATACATACTACATTTATAGGGAACAGAAGAACTATTCAAAAAAGAGGCAAATCTGACAGATATCTCTGCGGATGAAACTCAGCAAACTGATTCTGAAGTGAACAGTGTACTTTCTGCTTACAAAAGTGAAGGGGACCCTGCTCTCTATGAGAAAGCATATAGTGAATTAAAGAAATTTGTTGAGGGGTCCTTAGATATATACAAGGTAATATATTATGTACGCAATGTATATACCAAATAAGAATATATGATAAAATACTTTTTGTTCAATAACAGCATGAATTGGGTACAATTTTATACCCAGTCTTGGTACACATGTACCTTGAGTTGGTTTATAATAATCATTCTGAGGAAGCAAAACAATTGTTGGATAAATTTGGTGGGAATTTGGAGGAATATTATCAGAATGATTTAAAAAGATTATCCAATGTCACTAAACGTGAACAAATGGCAGGAAACGAATTAACTGACACTTTCAAGTATGTACTAATAAGCACTCTTAATAAGAACTTATCATATGATAATTATACTATAAATATTTATAAAATGTATTGTAGA